GAGCATACGAAGTGCATTTTACCAAAGACCGTCATTTATTATATAACTTTACAGTTTCTGCTTACTTGATGAAGTTACTCGGAAACACAATTCTGCAAGAAGAGCAAACTCTCTTCATTTAAACAAGGTGGGAACCTGATAATTTATTCACTGGCATGCACAATTCTGGTTTTTCATCATACATTGTTTTTGATACTAGTTTAATTTAGATGTCTGCTGGCCATATTCTCCTATCTTTCCATTTTCTCATATTGGCATTTAGTATTTTCTTTAAAAATTATTTTAACATAAAAACAGTTTCAAAATGCACTGCACATACTTTTTAGTTTATAAGAATTTAGCTTCAGAACAACTAGCAATGCTGTTCTCAAGGGAATGCTAAGGTGGCAACTGAGAAAGTTCTGGCTGCTTCAAGAAATTTTATACAGTTTCCCAAAGTGTACTCCAAGGATCACAGATCCTAAAAGATACTCTGGGGAAAATCATTTTTTTTGTTCCAGGTGTGGAGGCTCACACCTATAATCTCAGCACTTTGGGAGGCTGAGGTGGGAGGACTACTTGAGCCAACGAGTTCAAGACCAGCCTGGGCAACATAGGAAGACAATGTCTCTACAAAAAAAAAAAAAAAAAAACAAGGAAAAACATTTTTTTGGAAAATGCTATGGATTATATCCCTCCTACTTCACAGATAACAATGAACACCAGCATATTCAAGAATCAGAAGTTCTGCAGTAAGGATCTCATTTATCTTTCTTTTTGGCCTATATATGTTTTTATTAATTTTTACCATTAATTTTCCTATACCTTTTAAGTAATTTTAAAATCCTGAAAACTGGAAAAGTATATATTTCACATTATTTTAGGTCCCCCTATTTTTTGTACCCAACCTAGAATTCATTGTTCTTTTACTTTTCCAGTCTTAAATGAAGCTAACATCAATATTTTAAATATATCCATTTACCTTTTCTTAGCCTGCCATTTTCCAAACGTTTTTAGCCACAGAACTTTTCCTTATAATACCTTCTAAAACATTACAAAGCTTATATTCCTGAGAATATACTTTAGAAAACCATAAATAAGGAGAAAATGGAGAGAAGAAAAAAGCCAGAAATACAAATTAAAAGCTATTTGAGGCCAAGCGCAGTGGCTCATGCCTGTAATCCCAGCACTTTGGGGGGCCAAGGTGGGCAAATCCCTTGAGGCCAGGTGTTCCAGACCAGCCTGGCCAACATGGTGAAACCCCATTTTCTACTAAAAATACAGAAAATTAGCCAGGCGTGGTAGTGTGCACCTCTGGTCCCAGCTACTGGGGACGCTGAGGCAGGAGAATCACTTGAACCCGGGAGACAGAGGCTGCAGTGAGCCAAGGCTGCGCCACTGCACTCCACTCTGGGTGACAGAGCGAGACTCCGTCTCAAAAAAACAAAAACCAAAAAAGGCTATTTGAAATAAGCCAGGTGAGAAAATTAGGGAATGGAACAGGACGGTGTAGCAGTAAGGAAAAAAAGGGGGCAAGGGAGAATGATGAGAAACAGTGCCAAAGAAAAACTTAAAACTAGGTAACAGGCCAGGCGCAGTAGCTCACACCTATAATCCCACCACTTTGGGAGGCTGAGGTGGGTAGATCACCTGAGGTCAGGAGTTCGAGACCACCTTGGCCAACATGGTGAAACCTTGTCTGTACTAAAAATACAAAAATTAGCCAGGTGTGGTGGCACACGTTTGTAAACCTAACTACTCAGAAGGTTGACACAGAATTGCTTGAACCTGAGAGGTGGAGACAGCAGGTGAGCCGAGATTGCGCCACTGCACTACAACCCAGGCAACAGAGTGAGACTCTTTCTCAAATAAATAAATAAATAAAACAAAAAACTAGGTAACAGATAACTATGAAGGAAACGAGGCCAGGTGTGGTGACTCATGCCTGTAAACCCAGCACTTTGGGAGGCTGAGGAGGGCAGATAACCTTAGGTCAGGAGTTCGAGACTAACCCAGCCAACATGGTGAAACCCTGTCTCTACTAAAAATACAAAAATTAGCTGGGCAAGGTGGTGAACGCCTGTAATTCCAGCTACTCGGGAGGGTAAGGCAGGAGATTCGCTTGAACCCAGGGGGCGGAGGTTGCAGTAAGCTGAGATCGTGCCACTGCACTCCAGCCTGGGTGGCAGAGTGCAATTCCACCTCAAAAAAAAAAAAAAGGAAACGTATAAGTCAAGATCACACTAAGTTTTTACATGGTGGTTCTAGCGCTTACTAAGATGAGGCAATTAGGAAAGAAAGTAGTTTATGAAGGGTGAACAGGAAGGAGATTTTCTATTTCAGATGCTGAAACTGAGATGATAAAAATCTAAATAGAAATGTGCAATACACATGTTGGAAACACAGATTACAAATGAGTGGCTGGACACAGCTTCTTTCAAAGTAACAATAATTCCTGTGTGTAACATAACAGGAGGAAACTTTAAGAAGTGAGAACTGAAACCACAAGGTAATAGCTGACAGACTTAAGACCCTTAGATGAGAATTCCAAGATAAACAGCACAAAA